TTTTCAACGTTTATTTATTTTTGGGACAGAGAGAGACAGAGCATGAACGGGGGAGGGGCAGAGAGAGAGGGAGACACAGAATCGGAAACAGGCTCCAGGCTCTGAGCCATCAGCCCAGAGCCCGACGCGGGGCTCGAACTCACGGACCGCGAGATCGTGACCTGGCTGAAGTCGGACGCTTAACCGACTGCGCCACCCAGGCGCCCCTCCTTTACCTGTTTTAAACATCACCTCCAACGAGGGGCACCCGGTGGTTCGGTCAGTTACGCATCTGACTCTTGGTTTCAGCTCAGGTCATGATCTCATGGTTTGTGGCATCGAGCCCTGCGTTAGGCTCCACACTGAGAGCGTGGAGCCTGCTTGGGATTCTCTCACTCTCTGTCTCTCTGCCCCTCCCCCACTTGCATGCGCGCTCTCTCTCTCTCTCTCTCTCAAAATAAGTAAATAAACATTAGAAAAACCCCACAAACCCACATCACCTCCAATGAGAACCAGGAGATGGGATGGGGGATGGGGCTAGGATAAGCAACCTGGGTCGTGAGGATTATCGTGGAGGAGAATCAGAGACTCAGGAGGCCCATAAAACAAGACGATGGGCCCAGGGATGAGGAACGGGTGGACCAGCTAGATGATGGATGAGGTTTCCTCGTTGCCTAGATGGGACTTGGGGAGAAGCTTACCTGGGGGTTTTCAGACAGTTTCTTGGGAATTTGGGGTCCTGAGAACATGGAGGCCACAGCAGGGCCCTCGCTCACTTTGTCCCCTCCACCTCCGCCTTTCAAAGATCTTCCCTAGAAGATTTTATCAGAAAAAAATGCTTTGCAGCTAAAAAAGAAAAAAAGAAAAGAGGACGAAAGCCCTAAGTTTTGAAGTCAGACTGCCCGTGTCCAAATCTCTGCTCAGCCACTTGGCCGTGTGACTTTGGGCGGATTATTTAACCTCTTCTGAACCTCATTTTCCTAATCTGTGAAATGGGGATAGTGATATCCGTACCTACCTCGCGGTTGTTTTGAAGAACGCGACAGACCGTATTTTCCAAAGATGGTCGTGACAAGGTCTTTCGTCCGTTGTGCCCTGGTAGGAGCTCACCACTCCCTCATCAAAAGGTAGAGTCTAAATCCTCTCACCTTGAACCTGGGTGGGCATGTGCGACTGCCTGGACCGACAGGGAACAGTGCGGGTGACGTTGTGACTCCCAAGGCTAGGTGGTAAAAATGCCACGCACTTGCGAGTGGTTCTCTTGGGACACTCCTTCCTGGAACCCCGGCCACCGCGTTCCGAGGAACCTTGGGCAGCCCATGGCTAGGAACGTGGTTAGGGTTAGGGTTAGGCGAGGGTTAGATCTAGGGTTAGGCTGGGAGACCCCAGCCGATCTCCCAACCAGGACCGATCTGTCAGGGGAGCGAATGGACCAAGTTGACCCTCTGCTCAGTCGTGGTTCTGCCTCAGCTGATGCTGGGAGGCGCAGAGGTGAGCCATCTCTGCTGAGCCCCTACCCCAAATTTTGGGGTGATCTGTTACATGGTAGGAGATTGCCAGAACAAGACCTGGGTGCGATTTTGCGCACGGGCGGCTTGGCCCAGGACCGCGTGCATCGTAAGCTCCTTTTACACAAGAGGAACCCGAGCACAGAGACGGTGGTGGGTTGGCTCAAGGTCACACAGCTACTGGGCGTGATTTCCATCTATTCTTTCTGCTTCTTCTCCGCATGGGGCTGGTGAGAACACAAGTATTGGTTTCTGAGCCCAACCTGGGGCTGGGCTCTCATGTCTCTTGCCTAAGTCTTACACCCATAGCTCAGGACAGGGTTTATCCGTCAGCCTTGGTTACCTGCACACAGGTTTGCCGCAAGCCGCTTCCGCGTCCCTCCCGCCTTCGTTGGCTGCCCTGGGGGGCGGGGGGAGGTGGGGCCGAGCGGCCCAGCTGGGCATTGGCAAGTGAAGGGCCCCGGAGGTGGGGAGGGGGCATCTCCTGGCACCGGCCCCTGCTTCCTGTCTGCCCGCGGCTCGTACTCCCAAGCGAGAGTTGCTATGAGAAAGGCTCTAGGCGATCTTTCCTCTGAGCATTAATAATACTGTTAATTAAGCGGCCAAGAGAAGACCACGGCTGGCGCCAAAGAGACGACAATGGTCTGAAAAGGGAACAGAGAGCCACATCAACAGCTTCCCATGCGGGGCTTTCAAAAGAGCAGCTGTAGGGAGCAGGCGGGCGGAGAAGAGAGCGATCACGGCGCGGATGGGCCGGGAAGCACTGGGGTGAGCCCGTGCCAGCTGCCCAGCTGTGCTCCTCCCTGGCACCCCCGCCCTGCCCAGCTGGATGAGGGCTGCTCTGGAGCTTCTGGAGCGGCTGGGTAAAGCGGGCAGCCAGAGGGTACCAGCTGGCCCAGAGACTCCTCCCGAGAACCCCTGTTCCCATTCCTTCATCCACAACATAGGCAGGTTGAACTTCAATCCATTTCTTCTCAGTTGTCGACCTCGACTGGAGGTGGCTGCCTGGGATGCTGACTTGAGAATCTGGAAGCCAACTCGCTGCTCTCTGGAAAAAGCATGCTGGGATTGATTAGTGATGTCTGCCACGGGTGTGGGATTAGCAACTGGGGGTATGGGTGCCATCCATGGATTGGATCTCCAAGGTCCGGTCATTTACCTCATAAACGGTTAATAAAACACCCCTGAAGTGCCAGTTAAGTGCAAGTTCTCCTTCTTCTTCCCCTTTTCATCTATAAAATGGGTGCCCAGGGAACAGGATGTTCTTTGCCTCCGGGCTACCGAGATGAAGAAAGTAGGAAGAGCTTTCTTTACGTAGGAAGAGCTCAGGCAGAGGATATGTCCAGGGTGAAAAAGAAGGCTTGGTATCTGCATATCAGTTTATTTTTTAAATGTTTAGTTATTTTGAGAGAGGGAGGGAGGGAGAGAGAGAGAGAACGCGGGAAGGGGGAGAGAAAGAGGACAGACAGAATCCCAAGCAGGCTCCGTGATGTCAGTGCAGAGCCGGTGTGGGGCTCGAACCCACGAACTGTGAGATCACAACCTGAGCGGAAATCCAGAGTTGGACTCTTAACGACTGGGGCACCCAGGCACCCCACTGCGTATCACTTTATTTTTTTTTTTTTTATTTAAAAAAAATTTTTTTTTTTCAACATTTATTTATTTTTGGGACAGAGAGAGACAGAGCATGAACGGGCGAGGGGCAGAGAGAGAGGGAGACACAGAATCGGAAACAGGCTCCAGGCTCCGAGCCATCAGCCCAGAGCCCGACGCGGGGCTCGAACTCACGGAGCGCGAGATCGTGACCTGGCTGACGTCGGACGCTCAACCGACTGCGCCACCCAGGCGCCCCGCATATCACTTTAAACCAGGAGTTGGCCAGCTCCAACCCGCGGGCCAAGAAATAAAGTTTTATTGGAACACAGCCACGCCCATTCATTTGGGTATCAGTCTGTGGCTGCGTTTGTGCTACAAGCAACAGAGACCTTGCAGCCGGCAAAGTATCTATTCCCTTTACCGAGGAATATTGCTTTCTGCTGCTTTATCCTTTTCCAGGCACCGTCCCAGTCACCCCTGCACGTAGTTTTCATGCCAACCCTCTGAGTCTGGCAGGGCACATGCTATCCAGCCCCGCTTTCCAGAGGAGGAATTTACGGCCTGGTCCTAAGAGGCAAGGCCTTGAGCTTGAGATCTTTTCCCTGGGCCTCCTTTCCCACCCTGCCTTGGATCTCCCCCCGCCCCCCCCCACCCCCCCTGGAATCTGTTGTGTCATCCTGCCCCCAAGACCACTCACTTGAAGGGCTCTAACGGCCTCCAGGATTTCTCCTTCTACGTTGCCCTACGGTGTCGGAGACATTTCTCTTGAACCCCAATCCAGTCAGGCCAGCCAGCCCTTGCTCCTAGCCCTTCCATGGCTCCCTAGTGCCCCAGTTAAAACCTGCACTCCTTAGCGAGGTCTGTTAGGCCCTGATGTACTTGGAGCGTCCCCATTTCTCTCCTTCCCTCCTTTCCTCCTCCTGCCTGGAGCGGGAGCTTCTCTCCACCCCTCTTCCCCTCATCTGTTAAGGCTCAACTCAGCTCACAAACAGCCCCCAGGAAGCCTTCTCTGTTCCCTCCGCATGCGGAACCATGGCTCCCCCACACTCCTTCCTGGGACTGCTTGCTGACCTGCCCGTCTTTTCCTTTTAGACTCAGCCCTGAGTGAAGGCAGGGCTCTGTGCTACTCACCACGGGACCCCCCGGCATCCTCGCATCCAGCAGGCATACACTAAATGCACTCATAGCCCGACTACCCCCGCAGATTGGGGCGTGCCCTCAGCTCTCGGTCCCTAGCACCCACTGTTGGCGCGATGGAGACGTGTCAGCACCCGAATACCTCTGAGGTTCCCTATCCACCTTCTCCCCACCCCGAGGCTGTCCCAGGGCCTGAATGTCTGGAAGCTGTGAATTTGCCAGGCAGAGATCATGGCAGCTCTGGGCCTCATTATTTTCAGCATCTGTCTTGTCCCCTGAGTGTCTTCAGGGGGGGAAGAAGAACAGCTTGATGGGAAAATGCTCTGACAGACGTTCCGTCATTAACACATTTTGCTCATGCCCTGAACGGGGCCCCACGATGCACTGTGAAGCATTTGTAATCGGCAGAAAGAGGGATGGCAGTAATTCTACAATGTTTTCAGGGGCGTGGGAGTGAAAGGAGAAAGGAACTAACATTGCCAAGCACCTACTGTCTACCAGACTCTATGTTGCTAATAACAGCCACTATTTGTATCATACTTATTATGTGCTAGGCACCAAAAAGCTCAAGGCCACCTTCAGGCATAGCTGGATCCAGGTGCTCAAATAATGTCATTAGGACTTGGCTTCTCCTGACTCTGCTTTCGTCTTCAAGCAGGCTCTATTTACAGGACTCTGGGCAGTTCCAGAGCTATCTTATTCTCTCAGAACTGTAGCAGAAACTCCCTCACCCCCACCCCCAAACACACAAACACAAATAACCCCATGAACAGACCAAAATAACTCTTTCCCAACAGCTCAAGCACAAGTTCCAGAGCTCATTATCACTGATTGCACTTGGGTTACATGCACGTTCCTGAACCAATCATGAGACCAGGGAGTGGCGTTCTTCGACTGGCCACGCCTGGGTCCTGTGCCCTTGAGACAGCTGGGGGAAGGGTTCTCTCTCAAACTTCACCGACTGCAGGAGGCGGGAGGATGGTCCCCGAGGAAGAATCAGTGTGCAGATCCCGGAAGAGAGGATGGGTGGTGGGCAGGCAGGTGTCCATCCCAGCGGCCTGTGAACCCCGTATTCACGTTACCGATGAGGAAACTGTGTCACAAAGAGGTAAGTGACCTGTCCCGGCTCACAAGGCTGATAAATGACAGAACCACGGTCCGAGCTCAGCGCTTGAGGACTGACTTAGAAAAGCCTTGCGGAGCAATAAACTTCTCTCTCCCCTCCCCCACAGTTTTAGAGCACCTGCTACGGTGCTAGGCTCTGGGGATGACAAAGGTGGATGGTATCCATACGACCTCTGCACTGGTAGAGCTGGGATTCGAGCAGATCAGTTTCTTGGCTCCCAGATCTCGCTCATGCTCCGCCCCTACCTGGAACACGTACCCCCTCCGCCCCTCCCCGCTTTTGTCCTGTGTGATAATCCTTTTCCTGTCCTTCCGGGTCTAGTAGAAGGGACGCCATCCTGTGCAAGCCTGCCCTGCCGGCTGAGGCCGGACCTCCCCACTCCTTGCCTGGACCCTTCACCCCGTCTCCCCCCGTGAGAGCACATGAGGTCTGTCCCTTCGGGGATGGGGCTGGGGTGCTCCAGCCTTTGGCTCCTGGTGCTCCTGGCTGCTTGCAGGAACCTGGGAAAGACTGGCTAAGTCGAACCCACCCCGGAGAGCGACCTATGTGTCCTGCTCTGCTCTGCGAAGCTGCCTCATGACGAGCTCAGGCTGGACACCTGCCCTCACGAGGGAGAATAACACAGATCGTATCTCCGTTCTGTGTTGAATGGAGGGGCTCAGTCGTTGCTAGTTGCCCCCAGAGGCCTGAGAGCCCTGCCTGCCAGAGAAGATGGAGAGGCTGCCCCATTCACTAATTCCTGCACTCACTCACCAACATTTATCAAGTGCCTACCGTGTGCCAGGCAGTGGCGGTGGCAGTGGCCAGGCGGGGCAGGCCCTGGCCCAACCAGGAGCCCACAGACTCCCGGGAGAGACGAAGTTCATGACGTGAGCATACGGTGCTTCAAAAGCGAGACATGTGGAGGGACGAGAGTGTGTATCAGGGAAGGCTTCCCTGAGGAGGCGGCGGCTGAGAGGTGAACTAGGGAAAGAGCATAAGGGACAAGCATTCTGGAAGGAGGGAACAGCATGTGCAAAGGGCCCGAGGGGAGAGGAGGTGTAAGCCTCCTGACAGGTTGAACGGGACATAGGCTGAGGGTGCTAGCCATGGGAAGGAGGGGGTAATGGGGCCACAGGGAACCACTGAAGGCTTCCAATTTGGGTTTGGAAAGATGGCTGCGTGGAGAAAAGCCCGGGTGGGGGGCAGCCAGACAGGAAGGCAGCTGTACCCTCCAGATGGAGAAGAGGGTGGCTGGAGGGAGGGACGAGGCAGCAGGACAGGGAGAAGGAGCTGAGAGATTCAAGACAAGTTTCCGAGGTAAAGAGGCAGGAGCGCAGGTGCGGCTAGTCCCCGTGTGGCAGGGTGCCGATCTTGACCCCTGCCTGACCTGGGGCCCGGGGGACAGAGCAGGCACAGGGCGGTGGGGGGCGGGGGGGGGGAGGTGTCCCTCACAGTGGCCTCACTTCCTCCCTCCCAACGTCGCCCTCTCGCGGGCATCCTCACACACCCTCTCACGCGCGCCTTAATTCTCCCCCGTCCCTGCAGCCGCGAGGACACTCGGTCCCTGCATCAGCCGGCGTGCGCTGGGTCAGGCGGCTGTAACAAACACCCCCAACACCCCGACCGCCGGGCAACAGACGTTTCACGCACACGCACGCTGTCTCGCCTGCTCACCCCTACGTCCCCCCGCGCACATGGACACGGTCATAGGGGGCTGGATTATACCGCAGCCCCAGCAGCCCTGCGCCCCAGCACCGCAGCACAACAGCAGCAGCTGGTTCCCGCCCCCCGACCGCGCTCGGTCTCCAGCACGCGTGGGCGTGGCCTCTGCTCCCCCTCCCCCTCCCCCCGTAGCTGGCAGCGAGGACTGTCTCTTCCCGCGGTGGTGGCGGAGGATAAGGGAGCACCATAGCCTGGCTCTTCGAGCTCCGCCCCAAAGGGAACACAGGGCATCTTCACAGTCTCTTGTCCGCAACAAAGCACGCGGTCACCAGGACTGCGGGGAAGTGTCATCCTTCCGGGGGGGAGGGTGGGGGTGGAGGAGGGTGGGGAGGGGGGGTCTACGCCTAATAGTGCGGCGGTGTGTGCGCACATGGGCACCGAGAGGAGCGCGCGTGCTCCCACCGATTCCCGCTCTCAGCACCTGCTCACCTTCCCCCCCCATGCCCATCCCTCACACCTCCTTTTTTTTTTAAATAATAATTTCATTGTTTTAAGTTTATTTATCTTGTGAGAGACAGAGACAGCATGAGTGGGGGAGGGGCAGAGAGAGAGAGAGAGAGAGAGAGAGAGAATCCCAAGCAGGCTCCGCACTGTCAGCGCAGAGCCCGACCCGGGGCTCCAACAGGAAACCGTGAGATCCCGAGCTGAGCGGAAACCGAGTCCGAGGCTTAACTGCCTGACCATCTGGGCGCCCTCTGCTTGCACCTCCTCACCCTCTTCCAGCCGTGTGCACCTGCGCTCAGCGCTGTCCCTCCCTCCCGTGAACACGACCCCTCCTGCGGCTGGCATTTGCACGCTCGCTTTCTCACCGCCCCCCATGCTCACACACACACACGCGCACACACACACACACACTTCCTTTCACACATATGCTCACACTCAGCCCGGCCCCCACCCATCTCCACCACTCACCACATCGCGCTCTCAGACGCGAGTGTTCACACCCACAGCTTCCAGAATGCACCCTCTGCTCACGGCACTGCACGCGCTTGCACACGTGTACCCACAGCCACATCTGCACACGCGCGTGCCTGCACACACACCTCTCACACTCTGCTGCTCGCATACAACAGTACGCACGGAAATCGGGTCGTTTGAGCGGCGCCTGAGCGGCTCAGTCGGGTAAATGTCAGATTCTTGGTGACAACTCGGGTCATGATCTCGCGGTCATGAGATTGAGCCCCGCATGGGGCCCCACGCTCAGCAGGGAGCCGGCTTGGGATTCTCTCTCTCCCTCTTCCTCTCTGCCCCTCCCCTGCTCGTGCTCTCTCTCTCTCTCTCTCAACATAAATAAGTAAACTTAAAAAAAAAAAAAAAGAAATCAGGTCACTTTCTTCCTCCCAAGTGAAGCGGCCTCATGGCACCCTGCCCTCTGGGTCTTGGTGTCCCTACTCTGTCCCGCTTGAGCCAGCCAGCCGCCCCTCAAAGATGACCAGGTGGGTCTGTGTGAAGCCTCGCTCCGGGACAAGTCCCCAGAGGCTCACCCCCGCCCCCCACCGGCACCCAAGCCTTGTCACCTCCCCGCGCACCCCTCCCCGGGAGCCTGGATGCTGTGATGCCTCCGTAATTGGCAGCCCGGGGCCGATCGATCGGCCTCTGTGTACACGGGCCACGGGAAACATAATTAACAGTGTTTGGGATCTGTTAATTGCACCGGTTAGGAATTCCAAACAACCTAATTTGGAACTTCACTTCCAAGTGCATCTTTGCCTGGATTGAGCTCCAGGAGACTGAACAGAGCGGCAGAGGGCAACTTATGCAAAGCGGGAGCCCGCAAACCCAGGCCCGGGCTGCAGCCTGGCAGAGAGAAGGCCTGTGTGTCACCACAGGAAGGGTAGAGGGCGCCGAGGCCAGGGGAAGAGAGACTCCTCTCTTCCAGGGAGTCTTCCCGGATTGTGCCAGCCCCCTTCAGCAGCCTCTGCCATCTTCCCTCGCCCCAGTTCGGCTTGTGTGGCCTCCTGCCTCGGTGGTTGGAGGTTATTCGGCGTGGGTTTGCATGCCTTCTCTTGTGGTCAGAGGCCTTATTATCATTATTGTCATTGCTTTCATTTACCTCTGTCTTCAATCTAGTCAAGGCTCCAGGACAGGGGGGTTTGTGTGTTGACCTCTGCGAAATAGGGTTTCCTTGGTCCTCAACGTTTTAAAAGCTCAGCTCGGAGGAAATAAAAAAATCGGATCCGTCTGGCTGTCTTAACGGCACTAGGAAACCTTATCACTGAAAGTGTCTGGAGCTTCTTAACCTCTGACACGGGCAGCTCTAATTTAAAAAAAAAAAAAAAGCGGGGGGAGGGGCGCTCGGTTGAACTTCGGACTTCGGCTCAGGTCAGGAACTGGCAGTTGTGAGCTCCAGCCCTCGTCAGGGTTTGGATTCTGTGTCTCCCTCAGTCTCTGCCCCTCTCCGGCTGGCAGTCTGTCTCTCTCTCAAAAATAAGAAACCATGAAAACAATTAAAAAGATTAAAAAAAAAATTGAAAAATTAAAAAGACAAAAAAAAAAAAAACCCATTAAAAAACATGCCCCCAATAAAAAAGACATTAAAAATAAAAGGAAGGAAAGTCTGCAAGAGGTTTGGGGCCACCTCACAGGTGCACGGGGCTTGCACGGGCTGTGCTGCGACCGCGCTTTCCGCCAGCGCTTCTCAGACGTGACTGTGCTCACACATCCCTCGGTGGGGGCGGCTGCTGACATGTGGGTCTGCGTGCAGTGCGGGGCCCCGGGTCCCTGCGCCTGTAACCCATTCGGTGGATGTGCCAGTGCTACTGCTCCAGGCTCGACACGTGCCAGGCTGCTGGCACCCAGAATGGGCACACGACCCGCCACAGTTTAACCAGCCACGGAACCCTTGGGCAGGGACCCGGGCCTCTGTGCCTAGTTCCGGAAGCAGCTGCGGTCCCGGGCCTTCAGCGGGGCTCCCACGGGGGCCCCCGTTCTCTGCCACCCCCTGTTTTACGGGCTCTCCGAGGGCGGCTCCGGCGTGGAGGGGCGTCAGCGGGTGGGTTTAATGTGCCCGGGCGAGTCTCACAGCACGGGTGCCGGCAGCCGTAATTCACCCACTAAATTATGGCCATAAATTTCCTCAAAGAGATGGGTCCCCAGGCAGGTGGGTGGGTTGAGGCTGGTATCATTGAGCAGAGTTCAGTCTTCTGTCCTAATTAAACAGGGGCCTGAAGGTGGTGGGACGGGCAACAGGGGTGGGCTCCCGTGTGTGTGTGTGTGTGTGCGCACGCGTGCGTGCGCATCTAGAGTAGGGAGATCCAGAACCCTCTGCTCAGAGTATCAATCCTCACCCCGCTTGTAGTGGGTGCAATGGTGGTGCCCCCGAAAGAGGTCCCTAGATCCTGCGAATGTAACTGTTTGGAAAAAGAGTCTTTGCAGATGTAATTAAGTTAGGGATCCTGAGATGAGATCCACTTGGGTTAAGATGGCCCTTAAAGCCGATGGCAGGTGTCCTCGGAAACAGAAGGAGAGATGCCACAGAGGAGGAGGTCATGTGAAGGCAGAGGCAGAGGCTGGAGGGACAGAGTCACACACGGAGGAAGGCCTGGGGACCTCCAGAAGCTGGAGGAGGCCAGGAAGCGCCCCCCCCCCCCCCCCCCTTTGGCCCCGCTGACACCTTGATTTTAGACTTCTGGCTTTTAGAACTGTAAAAGAAGACATGTCTGCTGTTTTCAGACTCCAAGTTGGTAGTCATTCGTTACAGCAGCCACAGGAAACAAGTCTGCTGCCCCGTGGCTTTGGGAATGTCCCTCAGCCTCTCTGAGCCTCAGTCTCCTTCTCTGGCAGCTTGGGCTCAGGTCATGCCCTCCTCTTAGGCTACGGACGAGGCGCGGTTTGGCAGAGCCTGTAAAATGCTCGTCCCGGCCTATGACTGACGTGGCCTGGGCGAGGCCTGCGGAGAGGGGTCACTAGCCGTGGGACGCGTCAGCTGAGACTGAGCTTAGGAAGGGCCCTTGTAAACTGTGGAGTGAGGGGCTGTTGTTCAGGGGCGAGCAGACCGTGCAGCTGGCGGCAGCCGCGCGCCCCAAGAGAGCCCCTCGGCCAGGGCCGCCCCCACATCTACCGTTCACCTTGCAACTCACGACTTTCCTCGGCTTCACGGCCACCCGTGCTCACATGTATTTGGCGCTTTTCTTTATATCGACGCGTCCTTTTAACTTAAAGGTGCGCATTTTAAAAGGACACGTTATATTGCTATCGTAAACGAGAAGTGCGTTTCACTTGCCCTAAATAGTCGGTGCCCTTAAACCAAAATGCAGGGAAAACAGAACGGAGCAGTTTTGTGAGAACCCAGCCAGGCGCTGTAGTCCTGGAGGGCTCCGAGCCCGGGGTCTGCGTGTCGTCTGTCACAAAGGGACAGAGCCAAAGGGGAGGCACCAGACAGAGACTTTGTTTTCTCCTCCTCCTTCTTCTTTTCCCTCTCCTTCTTTATACCCAGAGACTTTCTTCTTGTTAAGTAATCAGAAAGTGATCAGGAAGGAGGTAATGCCTTCATTAAGTATTCCATTTTTCTTTTTTTTTTTAACGTTTTTTTTTTATTATTTTTTTATTTTTGAGACAGAGAGAGACAGAGCATGAATGGGGCAGGGGCAGAGAGAGAGGGAGACACAGAATCAGAAACAGGCTCCAGGCTCTGAGCCATCAGCCCAGAGCCCGACGCGGGGCTCGAACTCATGGACCGTGAGATCGTGACCTGGCTGAAGTCGGACG